CCCCAACAATGTATCTTTATCACAGCAGTGACAAATAATTGTAGTAGCAACACGTCTGGTCCACGTTTGCAATTTTTCCATTACACCCCAAACCAATCTCATCACTCCCTCTCAGAGGTAGCGACAGTAGCCAGTCTGTGCCTCATCATCAGAATTCTGGGTCCCAGCCCCAAAAAGCCTAAGTCCAAAACAGTAAGCTTTTAAAACCATGTCTTCTCTCAGTTCCCCTAAACCCATGGATGGTAGGTGCTTCCTAAAGTTTCTTTTTTACCTTTTCACTTCTCTAATTACCTGGTTAACACAATCAGTTATATTATGTTCCTTCTGTTCAAATCCTTGTGTTTTCTCTTCTGACTGGACCCTGCTCGATACACATCTGTGGCCATTCTGTCACTTGAAATATTTCCTAGACCTTTTGCTTCTGAATCTCCCTTAAGCATGCTCCATTAGGGTTTCTAAACTAAACCTCACTCCAAATTTCTGGCCAGTTACCAGTGATATCCATGCTATCAAATCAGTGGTCTTGTCTTGGTTCTCACCTTCCTTGACCTTTCTACAGCATTTAAGTTGTGCAGTCCCACCACCTTAAAATATATCCTTCAGCAGTCTTCTAGCATAAGACATTCTTATGCATTTTCTCCTAGTTCCATGAGGTTTCAGTGTCAGTCACATTTGCTGATTCCTTTTCTTCCCCCCGTTCCCTGCCACCCACCCCGATTTCTTACTACTTCAGGGTCTCAGGGATAATCAGTCTTTGGCTTCTCCTTTTCCTCTCTATACTTATTCCCTTGTTGGTCTCATCCCATCACATGGCTTAAATGCCACCTAAATACTGTCATGATGGTGGTTCCTGAATTTTATCTAAAACCTGGATATAACCTCTGAATTCTGGATTCATATATTTAACTGCTTGTCTGACTTGACTTGTGTGTTAAATAAGCATCTCAACTATTATATCTTTTGAATGCCAATCTCCCAATCTTCCTTCTACCCTACCCGTTCTATCTTTTTTCAATAAATGCCAACATTAGTTTTCCATTTGCTGAAGACTAAACCCTTGATATTATCCTTGACTGCTCTTTTTCTAACATTATGCATATGATCTCTCACTAAATCCATCAAGTTGAAACTTCCTATTATGCAGAATCTAGTCATTTGTCAACATTCCTGTGCTGATACAACTGTGACATATTTCCTAGATTTTTGTTACAACCTCCTGACTGGCCTCCCTGCTTCTAGCACTGTATACATCACACCCCATCCGGTATTCTTCTTTAATGGAAGACTCAAAAGGATCCTATGAAATGTCCACCAGATCTCATTAGTTTAAGATACTGCACACTGCCATATACACCTTGTCAAAATTATGACAAAGATTTCAAAGAAATTAAATATCTAGACTAGGTATCGATGCAAGCCCTTTCTCCAGTAAGAATAAGCAACTCTACTATTCTACCGAGGACATGTTTCACTTTATTTGTGCAGAGAAAACACTGACTTAGCCTCTGAGCGATCCATTTAAAATAGCATAAATGGACATTTCAACCTACACTTGCTATGATTCTTCATTATAATAGAAAGATGAAACTTTTCAGGAAAAGATAAAGGTCTTTGAAATGATTACTTGACTGACCGTATAAAGTTCTGGGGATGCTTGAATGAAAAGATTGACATGAAGAAAGATAACAGCTTTGCCCTACGCACACACAAAAAAACTGTTTAAATAGCTGTGGGGCTGAGTCTCAGGTCATATTAGAAAGACTCTTTGCCTATTACAGATCTTGAGAATCAGGTAATACTAGTAAAAATTATTTAAATACCTCTAATCCTTTTTTAGGTATGTTCTACAGGAGGAAAAAATTTATTGATTATACCAGGAATGGAAGTTAAGATTATAAGATCTTTGGTTGGAAATTAAGATCATTATAAGAAAATAAGAACATTATATTCATTGCTCTAAACAGGACATGAATTAGTGAATATGCAATTATTTGACAAATTCTGAAGTAGATGAGGGGAATGTGAAATCAGAAGGTAAGCCCTCTGTGGTATCTCAGAAAGCATTTTTAAATGGTAACTGTTGCTCGGTTATTCAATTTCAAGGTACAATTTGGGATTCTAAAACCTGAAAGGAATATGAATGTTATAGTAATAATATTTTACTGTTCTTCATAATTATCACAGTGCATAGCATATTATTTTGTATAAAGTGGCAGCTAAAACGATTTAACAATGGGCCCAATGAACTTAATATGTTTCTCTGTATGCTTCCTTCAAAATGTTCTATAGCTACATTATGTACTCATATAAACATTTTATTTGAACCTATATTTTCATGGCTAAAATTGGAAGTGGCTTTTAATTCACATGAATGTAAACTCTGAAAGTTGTGCAACTCAGAGCTTAATTTGTCTCCCATGAGCTGTTTTGATGAATATGGCTAGAATTTATTTTCTCTACATAGAAACAGCATTTGTTTTCAGACATTCTTCCAGGTTTCTAGTGGGGTCAGGGTGGTTATTGCTGATGACAGCAGGTCGTCTATTCAAGGAAAAAAAATAGAAACATTATGCTATCAAATTTTACAGCTGAGAGTTTAGACATTTATGAGTAAAGAAGGAAAATTATGATATAACATTTCCATATTCAACCTATGACAAACTATTACTTTAAGTACTATTAAATAGAAAGTAGATAATAGATTAGATAGATAGATAGATGCTATGCAGACAATTAAGCTAAGTTAGAAGGTTTAATAATATCCCTGCACCATGAAATGTTTTGATCTAGTTGTGACTTTCTGTGTAAAAAAAATATAACTTTTTAAATACAAAATTATATTGTAAAATATTTTAAATGGAATTTCAGAGACACTAATGTGGGAAATTGTGCATCAAAGAACTGGTGAAATTGAATATCACCAAATGAATTCTATTGGGAAAAAAGTTTAAAAAAAAAAGATGAAGCAAGGACAATGATGAAATTTTAAGAATTTTAACTTTCTTTATCCACAGCATAAATTATAGAGGTGCTAGGAATTTTCCTCAGACATGTGAATAATAGTTTCATATAGCCTTACCTCCAGGTATATGAGGGGCATCAAGGGACTTTCAAATTGTTTTATTCCAAGTGGAGGGGGGGCACCACATAAATAGAAAAATTTAGATAAAGTATGAAGTTGTGCACTTTTTTTCCTTAAGAATTTCACAAATGCATTAGACTAAGATATATATTTTCACTGAGACCAGGGCTAGCTGATTTATATGTTCCTGAAATATTTATTTAATGGCATAACATGTGTCAAGCCTTGCGTCTAGCTGGTATGGATAAAAGTATGCATAAAGAATGGTCCTTCATGGATGAGAACATGTATAGCTTTATAGAATAATAAATAAATATACATAAGTATATATAATATATCATATATATTATAAAAATATATATTTCAAATCTCACTGAACATGTTCAGAACTGCATTATAACTATAGAAGTAGTCTCAAATATGCTAGGTGAAATCCTTGTAATTATAAGATCTACAAAATATCTGGAGTTTAACAATTGCCTAAGCAGTCAGTTAGATCAAAGAATTTCAGAAACCTACTTTTTCTGAGTGGCAGACAGAAAAATATTTATAGAATAATTATGTTAGCTTATTTCTCTTCACTGGGTGAGTTGTAGAGATATCTTCCTTTTTGAAAACTCTTGCGTATATAGGGAGAAATACTGATAAATAAAATACTTCCTACCTTTATTCTTGAGTGTAAGATCGATGCTTAATCATCCTTAATAGGAAGGATTTACCCTTTAAATAGGCCAATGTTGTGACATGTGTTTGTGAGTGCATGTGCATGTATAAAAAGTGAGGATAGAGCATCTGGGTGGCTCAGTTGGTTGAGTGGCTATCTTTGGCTCAGGTCATAATCTCGGGCTTCCTGAGTTCTATCCCCATATTGGGCTCTCTGCTGTCAGCCTGTCAGCGCAGAGCCAGCTTGGGTTCCTCTGTCCCCCTCTCTCTGCTCCTCCTCAGCCTGTGCTCTCTCCAAAAGAAATAAATATTAAAAAAAATAAGAGTAGATAGAAATGAGTGGCAGCAACATACAAAATGGACGTGTTCTGGAGATGTTCACCAGCATCAGCTAATCTAGCCACACATGAAATTAGGATGGAATAGCATTTTTTATAGGGAAATGAATTTACTCTTTAACGTAGTGAAAGGTAAGGCTGAGTTTAAGCAATGACAGTTCTTTTTTTTTTAAGAAGTTTATTTTTTATTTTTTTTAATGTTCATTTATTTTTGAGAGACAGAGTTGGGGAGGGGCAGAGAGAGAGAGAGAGAGAGAGAGAGAATCTGAAGCAGGCTCCGGGCTCTGATCTGCCCCCACAGAGCCCGTCACGGGGCTTGAACTCACTAACCACGAGATCATGAGCTGAGCTGAAGTCAGACACTTAACCTACTGAGCCACCAGGTGTGCCATAGAAGGTCTTTTTTCTTTTCTCTTTTTAATGTTTTTATTTATTTTTGAGAGAGGGAGAGAGACAGAGTACAAGCAGAGAAGGGTCAGAGAGAGAGGCAAACACAGAATCAATCGGAAGCAGGCTCTAAGCTGTGAGCTGTCAGCACAGAGCCCACTGGGGGCTGGAATTCTTGAACTGCAAGATCATGACCTGAGCTGAACTGGAATGCTTAACCCACTGAGCCACCCAGGTACCCCCAAGCAATGACAGTTCTAAAGAGGTAGAGTTTAGGTTGAGAAAATCATTTTTTAGTGACATGACCTTATCCATTACTTAATTTGCTCTCATCTAAAAAGCTCGTAAGTGAAGTGCTTTGGGAAATAAGGAAGTCTAGGTAAAACATTGTGTACACATGAGACCATTTCATTTTCCTTTCTTATTTTAACTCTCCCTTTTGTGTAACTTGCAATCAGATGATTGCTGCCGGTATAAATTTCCACTTTATTGAAGCACATACGTTAATGTTTTTCCCCCACAGAAATCTACAATGAAATTCCTGGTCTTGATTAGTATTTTGAGTGTGCTCATGCAAAGAACAGTAAGTAAAAGAAGAATATGAGTGAGACCTTTACAACTGTTTTTCAAAAATGTCTAAGGAGGCAATTTGTGTATGGTGAGACCGTGTCTTAAGTTATAAATTCAGTAATGAAACGTGCATTGCTTTGACCTGAATATTTAAAAGGAATTTCTAAAAATCCATTTCCTCACCACTTATATTGTACAAATGTAAACAATTTACCACATTGAACCTTATAGTTCGTGGTGAAAGAAACACATGTTGTCGGCCCTGCTGAAGTTTCCCCTGGAAATTTGATTGTCCTTTGCCTCATCCCAGATGTCAGCCATTATGAAGTCTGTGTAGATGCCCCCCTGGCTTGTTTGTAGCATTTTAGCATGTGTGTATATGGCACTTAAGGGGACCATCTATCGTGCATGTATATGGCACTTAAAGGGGGGTTTGTGAGGGTTTAAAATTTTACATAAACAAGACATGCAATTGTATGTGTCTTTCTGCAACTTGCTTTTTTCCCCCAATCTTAATGTTGTTGAGACTTATCCACGTTGACCAATGGATCAATACTTTCACTTTAATTGATCGTTGTCATGCTAGATCAAAGATATAATGCATTATATCTGAGTAAAACATGGACTGTATTTCCTATATGATCCTATCAACTTGATGATCCTTATTCAAGGCCTTTGCATGTATCTAAAAATATTGTGTTAATTATGTCTGCTATCAGCTAAAAAGTGGAGTATTCAATAAAATACAATAGGGTGTGTTCATCCATGTGTGTATTATATTTATATATGTGTGTGCGTAGTTAAAATCTTAAGCCAAAATAGAAATTAAAAATTATCAGAGAAAATACTATTTTCTATCAGCATCACAATGCATTATCTTTTTTTTTTTTTTTTGAGAGAGAGAGAGAGAGAGTGTGAGGGGAGTAAGGGGAGAAGCATAGGGAAAGGGAGAGAGAGAATCTTAAGCAGGCTCCATGCCCAGAGTGGATCCCAAATAGGGGCTCGACATCACGACCCTGAGATCACAACCTGAGTTTACATCAAGAGTTGTACACTTAACTGACTGAGCCACCCAGGTGTCCCGAGATAATCTTTTTTAATGACTACACAATGTAATTAAGTATGAGACCCAGACAAGTGTATTTTGCTAACAATTTCTTCTGTAGCAATTTTCAATATAAAATAACTATGTATTCTAATAGAAAATATGCTAAAAATTAAAATATTAAAATAACTAAATGAAGTATACTACTTTTTGCTTTTTTTTTTTTTAGTGGGGAAATGTTCAAGGCAACTATGATTCCCTCAGCGAAGAGGTAACATTTTAATATATTTACATTTAAAGATAACTCTTAGTTCTATATTTTCTAATACCACATTTGCAGCAACTAATTTCTTAACTCTCAGAGAAATCATTTTATGAAAACTGATGTACTATAGTTACTGTCAAAAGTTTAGGTGATATAATATTAATGCTATCTTCCTAAACTTTAAAAACTTTAATATAAATTCAGACCATAGAGTCTTTTGCATTTTTTTCCACAGAGTATTCCAATGCATTCATTTGGCACTCTGAAATAGGTTCATTCTAGTCCATTTGTTTCTTTTCTTTTCTTTTCTTTTCTTTTCTTTTCTTTTCTTTTCTTT